GAATATGGTTTTAAAAGCACCATGGTGGGCTGGGGCTAGCGCTGGGGCTGGAGTTGAGTGGCACAGCACCTGCCTAGCATGTGTGAGGCACTGGGTTCAATCCTCAGCACACATAAATAAATAAAACAAAGGTATTGTGTCCATCTACAACTTAAAAAAAAAAGCACCATGGTATCAGTTATGTTTTATTTTATACATAACAAAAAATATGCCATAGGACAATTTGTAAGAGTATAATTCAGTGTCACTAAGGACATGTACCATGTGTGCAAACATCCCGTCTACTTCCAAAACTTCTCTGTGACCCTCAAACAGAAACGGTGCCCACTCAACAATAACTCCCCCGCCTCTCAGCCCCGAGTAAGCTCCCATCTATTTTTTGTCTCTAAGGGGTTACCTATTTTAGATATTTCATATAAATGGAGTCGCACAATATCTGACCTTGTGCGTCTGGCTTCATTTGTTCGCTCAGCAGCATTTTTGAGGTTCACGTGCATTTGATTCCTCTTCATGGCCCAATGACCTCCCGCACCACGTTTTTGTTTTGTTTTTCCATCTATCCTTTGATGGACACTTCTTGTCTCTACCTTCTGGTTATCATGAATAATGCTGCCCTGGTCTACAAATACCTGTTTGAATACTTCGTTTCAATTCTTTGGGGTGTATACCTAGCAGTGAATTGCTAGCTCATGTGGTAATTCTAGAGTTTTTTTTAATGAAGTACCAAACTGATTTCCGTAGCAGCCACACCACTGAACGGTGCGACCAGCAAGGTACATGGGCTCCAGTTTTCTTCTCTTTCCAATGGTATTTAGTTCCTTTGGGGCTTTAGTCTCACTTTATTTCATTCTTATAAGCTTGCTTAAACCATTCTTTTCTAAGTCGTAATGATTTTTAAAAATCAGAATTCCAGACTTCTCTCACACTCAACCATGACGTGCTGTGTGACAGTGTATGGATTTCACCTTTCCCTTCCACGAGCAATCAGATACCTGCATTGGAATTCCACCTTCCTCCTCCCAGCTGTGTGCTCTTTCGGCTGAGAAAATCAGTGCTTTAGTTTACTATGTTTGTGGTAACAAATTACCACAAATTTAGTGACTCAAAACCATAGAAATTTCTGATAACTGTGGAAATCAGAACTGACATGGGTCTCATGGCTGGAATCCACTGGAGGCTTTGGGGAGAAGTGGTTTCTTGCCTTTTCCACCTAGAGACTGCCTGCATGCCTTGACTTGCAGCCCCATCTCTATCTTCAAAGCCTGCCAAGGCTGGATAAGTCTTACTTCACATTACCCAACACTGATAATCTTGCTTCCCTCTTCTATATTTTTTGGGGGAGGGGTACCATGGATTGAACTCAGGCACTCAACCACTGAGCCACATCCCCAGCTCTCTTTTGTATTTTATTTAGAGACAGGGTCTCACTGAGTTGCTTAGCGCCTTGTTGTTGCTGAGGCTGGCTTTGAACTCATGATCCTCCTGTCTCAGCTGGGATTACAGGCGTGCACCACGCACCCAGCTCCCTCTTCTACTTTTAAGGACAGTTTACATTGGGCCCGTAATCTCCTACTTACAGGTCAGCTCACTAGCAACCTAAAAGCCCTCTTGCCATGTAACCAAACATATTCAAGATCTACTCCTGAAGACTGAAATTTATTTAAAAGGTACCTCCACTCAGGCATTCAGCAAACACATATCAAGTCTTGAGTTAATGAAAAGTATATGAAATACTTTTGAGTCTGACACCCCGTAAGCAATCAATCAATGTCACCCATTATCATATATCTATTATAGGCTCTTTTGGCAACATGGTCCTAGCCTCAAGAATTCACTCCTTAGTCTACACTTTTGGAGATCTGTGCCTCTAAAATCCAGGGGAATGCTGCTTTCCTTTCCAACTATAAGTCTACCATGACTCCCCCAGGGTCCCAGAGCACCATCCTGTTTTCTGTGTTAAGCCAGAAGAGCAGCAGCCCCTGCCTCATGACTTCCCCTACCTGCTAATGACAAAAAACACCTACAGGGCCAGTCAAGGGCTCATCACTCCCTTGGGCTGTAATGGTGGAGGCTGTGTCTGGCCTGAGACCTGGGTCAGGGAATGGTCCTTCTTAGCCAGTGGCCTGCAACACAACTCCCAGTCGCTCTCAGCTTGCTTCCTCGGCACTCTCCAGGCCCCAAGGTTTATTCCTCAACAGCTGCTTGGACATTATTGGCCATGCAGTCTACTTGGGAATTTTTTTTTTTTTTGCTTTTTCCATGCTACTAGTATTGTCTTTCATCCTATCTGGTTCTCCGTTTGAGGATATCTATCTATCCTCTTCTCCTATCTCAAAACTGCTTTTCAAATTCTTGCTTAGGTCAGAGTCTCACCACAAAGCTGTTGCTCACTTTGTGAGCTGCTCTCTGGTCCTCGCTATGAGGAGGGACCCAAGTCTTCCTCAAGACTGGGCCTCTATCACACGGTCAGTGGATCTGGGGACAAGGGAGGGAGCCTCAACACCAGGGTCTTCAGTGAGGAAGAGTGACTGGGCCCGGGGTCTGCCCTGCTAGGAGGCTGGGCTGGGTTGTGCTAGATGTAAGTCACCAGGAAGTGGCTCACCACTGGACAGGAGAGGACTGGAGCGGTGACTGAGAATGTTGGGGTTGGAGGAACCTGGGCAGCTGTGCACCTGCCACTCCTGAGGTGGGGCCAGAGACCCCTACCATGAGCACCCCCGGGACCCCTCCTCCCACCACCACTGGGGCTGCAGCTCCTCCAAGTAGCACAGCCCCCCCCCCCCACCAGGAGCCCCCCTCTGCTCCCACAGTGCTCTGTTTCGCTTTCTCCAAAGCTGGGTCACAGCCTCTCATTCATCGGCTCCTAACCACAATTTCCTCCTGTCACCTCAGAAATCCTATTTTCTTCCTGGCTTCCTCCCAGGTTCTGAGGACAATCCATCCTTGCTAATAAATCTGAGGGAGGAAGGCGAGCCCCTCCAAGACATGAGGCCCTTTCACGTTCTGTTGGCACTGGAAGGGCAGCTCTCACCTGGGCAGGTACGGCCTACAGAGGCCTGTGGTCCTCACAGCTCTTGTTCCTGCCCTCACTTCCAGTCCGTGCGTCCTGGGTAGGCCAAGAGACCCTCGACAACCCCTCCAATCCCCCCGCAAACTTCCAGCCACTGGGGTCTCTCCTGTAGATGCCGCTTGTAGGTCAAGGGTACGTGGGGAGGTGGCTCCAATAATGTCCTTTGGAAATCCCGTGAATCCAAATCTTTTATGAACTACATCCTCTCACTATCTAACCATGCCAGGGAATTATCTGAGATGAATGCACTTAGCCAGATGAATGCACTTTGTGCCAGCCTCAAGAGGCAGAATACTGTTCATTTGGCCCATTTTGTTGGCTTTGTCATTGATTTTATTTAGGAATTAAATCCTTTCCAAGCTTATGCTAAGGTGAAAGAGATGATGGGAGAAAAAACACAAATGTAAATAAGTGACAGTTATGCTAAACATACTCGAAGAAAAAGAGATCGTGGTTAAATGAATAGAGTACAATAATTGTAAGTGACAGTATGTGTAAGGGTGAGAGGAAATTTGTTTAAGTATTCCAATGAAAAAATAACAGTTGAGTATATTTTAACTAAAAGCTCTGTACTCAACATATGAACATATAGCAACTTCATTTTGTTGTTCTAAAACCATTTCAAAAACCATTTCAACTATTTTAAAATTAGGTTTCCTATCTTGATGAGGCTTAAAAATTAGATATAAATAACTCCAAGAAAATAAACTGTAAAAACCACAGTCATTAGTGTTATTAAGTAGGTTGTAAACTGTATTTTTCAACAACCAAATTACAGGAATTCTGGAATTGAAGGAGCCTCACTGAAAGCCAGTTTAGCAATTTTCATTTTTTGTAAGTACTGGAGGACATTAGTAGGGCACATATGGTCTTCTAGAAATTAGCAGATCAAATAAAATGGGCCAGGTGTGGTGGCGCACACCTCTAACCCCAGCAACTCAGGAGGCTGACGCAGGAGGATCGACAATTCAAGGCCAGCCTCACCAACTTAGTAAGGCCCTAAGCAACTCAGTGAGACCCTGTCTCTAAATAAAGTGAAAAAAAAAAAAAAAGGGCTGGGGATGTGGCTCAGTGGTTGAGTGCCCCTGGGTTCAATCCCCCTTATACCACCACTACCCCTCAAAATAAATGATGATCTGCAGCAGGACACTTCTGGTCTGGGTCAGAATCTCTAACTCGCCCACTCTAGCCAGCAGGGAGGAGCTGTCCCTGAGGGTTACAGAGCATCAGAGGATCCAGAAACCAGGAGCCTGATTCCCACCACTGGGCTGGGATGAATGCACTTAGCCATGCGATCATAAGCATGCTGGCAATGACGATTCTATTTGTCATCAGGAGAGTTTTGAATCTCAAGGCCATATAAGTTTCAATTACAACAATTTTTATTTAATAATGCTTTTCAAAGGAAGTACCCAAGAGCTGGAGAAACACCTATGTCAGAGGTCAACTGGCCCAGGAATCTGAACCAGCCCTGAAGAAGAATCTGTTGGCAGAGCTTTGGTTCTGTCTTCCTAAAGAGAGCTGAAGCCAGAGTCAGCCAGAACCAAAGCCAAGAGCTAGAGCCAAGTACAGGAGCAGATCTGGCAGGGAATTTATTGACCACCGCATACAGTGGTGGTAAAAAAAAAAAAATGAAAATAAAACCAACAAAGCAGGGAGAGAAAACCTGTTTTTCTGTTCAAAGTGTTTTATAAAAATATTATGTATTGCTCTAAAAAAATCGAATTTTTGCTGGTCTAAGCCTCCCGCCAAGATTCCTTTTGGTGATTCTGGAAGGAGTGGGTAGAGATCATCTGGAGGGGGCAGGGTCCCCTGAGATCCCTTTCATCCTAAAAGTGTAGGCTTAGCCTTGTTCAGCTCTGGCCATGAAAATGGTTCCCCCTCCAACCCCACCCCCGCCAGGCAAGGCGGCTTTGGGTTCAGGTGGTACCTGCCATTCCTGGTATCGTGTTGCCGCATGTTCTTGATAAAATGAATCTTCTTAAAATTCTTTGGTCTGGGCGAACCTGAGAGAGTTCGACATCTGAAAAATAAAGTGGTTTCAAAAACAGAGTCAGTTGCCGCTGGACAGCTGAGACATCTCCACACAAAGACAGGAAGGAAAGACCAGACAAATGGTTTGAGTCACCCCCAGGCAGGCAGGAGTCGCTGGGATAATGAAGACAATACGGCTAGAAGCAAGGAAGTTAAAAAAAAAAAAAAAAAAAAACCCCAATGACAGACAACTTCCTTGATAATACCGATAATATTTTATATGCGTCTCCAAAAGCTGGCTAATGAAAACTACAGTCTACAGTTATCATAACATAGTCTACACAGATTCCAAAGACATTATTCTTTATTGTCATTAAAAAAAAAAATCCTCCTGCATCAACACAGGTAAAGGGAAGAGAAAGTTATAAATTTAAAGGCTCTGGGGCTAGAGCAATAACATGGGAAATTCAGTTTCAAAACAATCCTGAATCATTTTGCTTCCAAAACACAATTTTGGCCTGACTTGCCTGGACGGTTGCCTCAACTCCAACTTGACCATGCTTTTAATGTGAAGAAGAATCAACCCAGCTAGTGTGTTTTATCTTTTATTTATTTATTTTTTGCTTTAAGGTAAATTTTAAATAAATATCTACTGAATCAAAGTGACCTGGATTCAAATTTTCTCCCCCACCCCAAAATATATGACATTCACTGTACTGCAAGTCTAAAGGCCATATAGATCTTATTTTTCTATACAATATGTTCAAAGTTACCTGGGAAATTCTAAGTTACAAAACTAACATCATCATCACCACCACCAAAGCAAAAAGCCCAATAAGTGAGAATTTGGTCTTTTCTTGACAAAGGGAGCTACGACTTTTCTGGGTACCCCCCCACCCCTGCAATCCCACACACCAAAAATCCTTTTTGACCATCGGCTCCAAGAGCTGGCTTCTGCTGTGGGGCACAGGTGCCCGTGACCTTGTTTCAGAAAGCAAGTTTGGGAAAGCAGTGCCCAGCTTCACAAAGGCCAAGCAGAGATCTGGGCTGGGACCTCATCTGAATTCAATCAGTTCTTACTAATAGGCTTCAGGCAAAGGAGTAAGATCAAGACCCAACAGGAAGTGACCGTGTGAGGGGCAGGTATAGGAAGTAGGCTGGGGAACTGGTAGGATTACAGGCCTGTAGGGCAATCCCCATCTTTACTGTCTCCCAGGAATATCTCCAGGGAGGTCACGCCTGGCGCATCTTCCACCCACCCTGACCTACACTTCTAACAAGGGCTAGTACTTCTGGGAGACCTTTCTCATAGTGCAGAATGCTATTTTCCCTCCTTAAGAAACAGCACCTTAAAATGTAATTTAACTTGCAAAAATACCTTTGAATAAGTCAGTGTGACCAAAGCAAAGGGATATACACTATCAGATATTTCTTGGCCAAGGGCCTTCCATGGGCTGTGGATCCAGAGGAGGACAGCCCCACGTCTGATCATCATCTACTCCCTTGGAGCCAGAAGCTTTGGCAAAGACCACATCCTCCCAACCTCCACCATGAACTCACCACCGTGAGTTCTGACCCATGACCATTTGAGTGTGCAAGTCACTTAAAGTTTCCACTGTGTCAGACACAGAAGGTTCTAGAAATATGGGATTGCTGAACAGAAGAAAATCTCTGAAAACCTAAAGGAAGGTATGGCTCCAGGGGTTTCTAGATAGGGCCAAGGGCTCAGAAGTGTCTTACTTTTACCTCACTCTACCCGCAAAAGCAGAGTTCTGGGCCAGCTAGTCTGAGGGTGGTGGGGTCAAGAGATCAATAGTGCAGTCCGCTCACTGATCCTGCCACCTTAACAAACTCTAGCACCTTCCTCCTCCCACCTCCGGGAAGCAGGAACTGGTGCCAGCCCATAGGAGGAAATCCTAGCTGCTCCCCATCTCCAGGAAGAGGAGCACCAAATTCCAGGAAGTCAGCAATAAGGCCAGAGGTAGCTGTCCATGCCAGCTCAGCAAGGCGGCAGTGGCAGTAAGAACTTCAACAGCAGAAGCCACCAGCACCTATCAACAGGATAACTCAATAAAAGTCCTGTTTTTCCATATCAGCTCCCCTTTCTAACTATATACCCTCCTAATCTAGCTCTTCATTCAGCAAGCTGTTTGTTGTCTTGCCTTTTTAAAGCACTCAACTAAACCACCAGGGAACCTAAGCGATGCTTTAAGAGAATTGTGGCATTAGCAACAACTGCCAAGGAAACAGGGATACCGAGTGCGCCGGTTGCAGCAGGTTAAGCAAAGAACAAATTAATTTCAAAGCCGCCTGCATTAATCTGTAAATATCCATTTAAAACCATACATTTTAAGTGATGCAAAATTAAAGTAGGATAGAATTAAATTAAAAACTAATTTAATGAAAGATTAGCTCTTTCTTGTTAGCACTGATTATAGGATACACTTAATGATGCAAAAGTTTTAATAGATGCCTTGGAGCCATTTGTTTTATGTGCTAAGCTTAAAAGCAAGTGGGGCTAAAAAGCCTTCCACCCCCACAGTTCCCAAAACATTTTGATGTCATTACTGGTCCTTTCCTATCACAGACTGGAAAGACCCTCAGAGATCAGCCCACTCAGCTCTCCCATTTTACAGATGGGAAAACCAAGGCCCCAGAGACACTAATGAGGTTGCAAGGCCACATAACCAGTTACAATAGTCAGGCCAATCTCTCAGCACCCCAGATCCCAAAATAAAGGACCCTTCTTCTACACTGTGTTAATTTTTATTTCCTAGGAGCAAGTACATTTCTAAGTTAAGTATGAGAAATATTTTTTTAATTAAAAAAGTCCATTTGGGAAAATAAAGACTTCTAAAACTGCTGATTTCTGATTGTTTTAAATGGTTTACACTTATACAAAATTGGTTTGAATTTTTCATCACTAGATTCTGTAAGTGAAAGTTCAATGAAGTCATAGTTAAGGCAGATAAGCCACTTTTTTACTCAGCTCCTTTGCCAGTCTAGACAGATTCTGAGAGGAGGGTTCCAGGATATAGACCATGAACACAGCACCCAGGTTCCCCTCCTAGGCTCCTGGAGACTCAGTGTCACCTGTGTTCAGAGGCACAGTGGCCCTGTCATGGAACCCTGGGGAGAAAGAACTTTCAGGCGCCTGTACACCGAGTGTCCTGCTCACAGCTGCCACACAGTTCTGAAAACTGAAGCTTCTAGCAGCCTCTTAAAGCACCAGGGCCCTTTTTTAGCTTTCTTCACTGATTTCCCCATTTGTAGCAGGGGGAGAGGGAGCCTTGGTCAGAGGTGACCACACTGCTCTAAGGCCAAAGCCACTTGCAGCCACCTGAAGACATTGCTCCTTCATGCTTAGCAATTATCTGGACCAAAGCTAGTTTCCCACCTTGACTTTTAATTCAGGTCACTGAAAAGTTCCTTCGGGAAACAGCCCCCTCCCATGATTCAACGGTGGCTTGCAGGAGGCTCGTGACCAAGTTGCGTACTCTCCATCACAGCGGCTCCATGCTGTTCAATCTCCCGTGCTCCCAGAGGCTGCACTTTATTTTCAAAGACTTCAAAAGTGGTGATGAGACTTTTGTGGCTTTGGCTTTTTTTCCTCTTTGGGATGATGTCAGTGACCAGATTCACAGTCACATGCCACTTTCAATTAGAGCCTTGGCCAGTCTGGGCTTACCCTGCCCTCTACTTCTCTCGTGGTTGGGACCTGTGGATACCACCTCCAGCCTGGGAGTGGGACAAGGAGCCGTCTCTAGGGTAAGACACTGCCCTCCACAGCAGCACCTCCCAGGCTCAGGGGGGAAGTCCGGGGACTTCCAAGTCCTGACCAGCAGCCAAGGCACATGGAGTACAGATGCAGGTTCAAGGAGGAATGGATGCAAGTTCATGGGAGGTCACGGGGGCTGGGGTTCCTGCCCACTGGCTGCCTTGTGGTCCCTGTGAAGGAAGCCCTAGAGTTCCATCTTGCCTCAGCCTCTTCTGCAGGGTTGAGCCCCCCTTCCTCACCCCACGCTACTGCCCCCATCCAGATGAGGGCTGCAGAGGTCAGTATTTTCTCCATGGAGAGGGCCTGGTTGGGCCTCTGTATGGGGGTCGGTCAACAGAGAAAGCAAGAGTAGAGGAGGGGTAAGTCACAGGTACCGCAGAGCTCAGCAACCGCCGTCACCCAAAAAAGATGCCTCGCCAGCACTTTCCTAATCTCAAGGGGAAAATGGAATGCTTTCAGACCCAAGGGAGCTCTTCAAACTGTCCTAATTGGGTTTCCCCAGCAACCAGCCAGGGAGTGATGTCATAGTGCCCTCCTAAGGAGTTCTGGTCGTCCCTTCTTGCTAAGAATGAAGTTTCAAGACTATGACGACTGTGTAATTATACCCAGGACAATACCGGGCTCTTCTATAAAGTAGCAGCTTTCAAAACGAAAAGGTTGGCGATTCACTCAGAGATGGAGCATGCACAAGCCCTTGGGTTCAATCCCCAGCACTGAACAGAGAAGAAAACAAAGGGGGGGGGGGGGCCGGGGGGGGGGGGGGGGGGGGACCACAAGAGGAAAAGCACCCAAATTCACAGATTAACTAAGCTACCTGCATACACAATAGGGATTTTCTAGTTTTCCTAGTGCTGTGTCCTCAGGGTTGGGGCTCCATGTCAGATGGTCATTTTAAAATTTTAACTCTGTAGATCAAGAACTTTAAAAATAAATCAATCTTATACTGCCAGCCATTTATAAATACATAAATGAAACAGAAAAATTACCTCCGGAGAGGGGCATTCTCTTCAATATCTTCCAGGGTCTCCAACGATGATCTCTGGGAGATGAGGCGACGTCTGCAGAGAGGAGAAAAAAACCAAAAGTTAGGAGTTAAAATCAGGTTGTCAAGTTGATCAGACATGTCTGTAAACCTAAAACTGTCCTTAAAAATAAAGCATATAAATAAATAAATAAATAGACAGACAGACAGATAGATAGAAAGAAAGAAAGCCGGTTGCCAGGCATGGTGGTGCATGTCTGTAATCCCAGTGGCTTGGGAGGCTGAGGCAGGAGGATCATGAGTTCAAACCCAGCCTCAGCTAAAGTGAGGTGCTATGCAACTCAGTGAGACCTTGTCAGAGTCTGTAAACAAGTCAGGATGGCGCCTGGCAAATGTTAGAGTCTGTATCGAGTTTATGCTAATTAAGATAAGCTGTGTAAAATGTATAAATATCTCTGTTGTCCTACAATAAACGGCTCCCACTCCTGCTGTATCAAGGAACACAAGTTGTTCATCACCCCCGGGTTATTTTGCTGCAGCCGGACTGCGGCACCTGTCTCTAAATAAAATACAAAATAGGGCTGGGAATGTGGTTCAGTGGCTGAGTGCCGCTGAGTTTAGTCCCCTGTACCAAAAAATTAAAAATAAAGCCCGTTAAAAAAAAAAATAATAAATAAAAAAAAGATTCGACAAAAGCTGTCTGTAAGAGGCTGCCCTGCTCTTACCCTGCATGGGGACCTCCACCTCCACCTTGTCTTGCTGCATCCTGAACATTCCCCCTCAGGATCGGGCCCTCTTTGTGGTGACTAAGAAAGTGATGTATCTTTTTAGGCTACGCTTTTCCCTAAAAGACAAGGTATCTCTTGTCACATGTAGTATAACTTGAGCACTGTGTGAAGGTTTTCTAAAACATTAGATAATACTGTTAAGTATGAAGTATCAGTGAACTGAACTGGAGAATGGATAAATCAATTTTCAAACCAGACTAAATAAAATCTCAAAATCATTAGAAAACAATTTAAAAAGTTGCTGTCTATGCAAGGCCTTGAATTCAAAAACAACCAGAGGCAAAGAAGAAATTCTTTTAAAGGAATTTCTCAGAGACCAGTAAGAATGAATATTCAGCATGATTATGTGTGACAATAACTTTTCTGGGCTGCTAAAGAATCGCATACCACCTGCTAAAACCTCCTTAGTCTAGTTTCTTTTGCCAGGCTGAAATAAGAACAGGTCCTAGTTAACTAAGAATATCTAGTACAGGAGCAGGGCAGGCTGGTGGTAACTTTAAATAAATCCATTTGAACAAGGACCACTCATTTTATAGAAAATGATCTGCCTGGGGGGTGGAGGGGAGTGGATCGCAAGGCTTGACCAGGTCAAGCCTTTAAAAAGAAAATAGGACTAAAATTAAAAGTTAACTTTCTATTATGTTTGACAACTTTTAGGTTAAGAGCATGCAATCATAACTATGTTCTAGATTGTTCTGAAGAACAAAGAATGAAACACTTTGGGGCTTCTGTGTAAACTTCTTCTGAACAACTACCCTCAAAACCTTTTGCTTCATGTTTTACTTTTGGTAAGATAATCAGAAAGGTCATTTTTGCAAACTCTTCAAGGGCTACATCAATTTTCCAAGAGTCCTTCTTAATCTTTTGATATTCAAATCCTTTTTGAACTGCTCCTCACACACACTCCTCTTCCTTTTCTCTAGCTATACATGGGTCTGATTTCCTCAGATCCTCATCCATCAATATGTGAGCACCAAACAGTTCCCAACATCACTGGCATTGTCCCTGTAACACCCTGGACCTTCTGCAGGGTCCCCAGTTTCACTTTATAATTAACTAACACTGACTTTCCATTTGTACAATACTGCCCCAGTTTCCCCCAGTTAACCAGAGCTGCAGGGGAGACACTGGTCTTACCTGGAAATGAGGGAGGGAACCCAGGGGAAGGGTTAGTGCATTCCTCAGTAAGCAGGATTTCCCAGTGCAGCCCTGTAACTCTGGGGGGCTCAGCTCTCCAAGACCCCTGTGATAGCATCCTAGAGCTGTGGCTCTGAAGCACCTGCATTTTCAGTTCAAGCACAGCCTCTCTGAAATCTCAGTTAATCCTGGAGAAAGCAGGCAAGGGAGCCCCCGGGCTGACCAGGTGCTGAGTTTAGCTGGTATGCAGTCCCAAGCTGGGAATGGGTCATCATGCTCCTGCCACTGTGGCTCTCAGCTGCAGGCACCCTCCGTCCCCACAAGTCCCATCCACAGGTCTACATAACTCCACCAATGGTCATTCCTGGGTACTAAAGTTTGGGGACCTTAGAAAGCTGCTCCAGCCTCAGTTTCCTCATCTATAAAATGGGAAAATGAGAGTAAAAATCAAATACATGCAAAGTCCTTGACATTCAGAAATTCTAAATGAATATCGGGTGCACCCTGACCTGCATCCCAGTTCAGCTGACTAGGATCAGGAAGACTGTCCTAGCTCTGACCCTTCCCTCCAGTTCCAGAAAGTAGTAAGTAGAGTCACGTGCTCCTGCCACACTTTAATGTATAACCATGCTTGTCTACCACAGGATGCTCTGGGAAAGCTCCTATTATGTGTGTCTCCTCAACAATGAGAGAGTTAATGGTTTCAATGATATTTACTCTACCTCTGGAGAACACTGAATATTTTGAAATTAAAAGTGAAACATTGACCCAAGTATGCACACCTAAATCACCTTGGAGATAACGTAACTTCTGTAGGCAGAAACAAACATATAGCTTCATGTGCTGGAAATCTCAACAAATTCACAAACTTTGAGCTTTCCTTTGTAGAGCACCTTTTTCAGGTTACCAGTAAATAGTCAATCGAATGTGCCACCAGGTGGCTACAGGGACCCTGAAGTTGAGGACTGCCCTCCTTCATCCACCCAGAGCAGGTCCTCTGGAGGGTCTGCAGTCAGCTGCTGGGTGGGAGACACAACCCAGGCCCCAGCAAAGTTCATCTTCCCCATGGAGCCATGACCACCCGGCTGCCCACCTGCTCAACCAGAACCTGGTGCACCTCGCCTGCTGTGACCCAGAGCTGCCCTGGCTTGGCTCCTGCCCTTGAGGGGCTCACATTCAAGTGGGAATCTGAAGGACCACCGAGAACTCCATCTGAATCTCTCAACCCCACCACCCTCTGGGGCTGCCTCCTGTGAGGGGCAGCCAGGAAAGCCCTCTAGCCCAATCCCACACAGGGGACATGCAGACTGGGGCCCTGTCCACCATTCGGAGCACGTATTCACCCTAGAAAAACAAGTCCTTTCACAGTAACCCTACCAGCAAGCTCTTCCCACACTGGAAAAGAAAATTGTTTATCTGGAAAATAACCAAATTAGAATAGATATATTCTTATAACTGTATAGAAAGACTAATAAGTACTTTTTTTTTGGTAGTACTGGAAATTGAACCCAGGGGCCTTACACATGCTAAGTATGTGCTCAACTCTGAGCTGACTAGTCAGCCTTTTGTTCCTCGTTTTGAGACAGGGTCTAAGTTGCCCAGACTGGCCTTAGACTTGCAGTCCTCCTGCCTCAGCCTCCCGAGTAGCTGGGTTTTCAGGCATGCACCACTATGTCCAGTAAGAACATTTTTCGAAGAAAAGTACTAATATTGTCCTCATGAGTTGAACATGTAAAGATTCACACACGCGTTGCTACAGACTAAACATACCCTCCCTTCCTAAAACTCATGTTGAAATCCTAGCATCCAATGTGATAGTATTAGAAGTGGGGTCTGTAAGAAGTAATAGAGGGGCTGGGGTTGTGGCTCAGTGGTAGGGTGCTTGCCTAGCATGCGAGATGCCGCGAGTTCGATCCCCAGCACCACATAAAAATAATAAAATAAAGGTATTGTGTCCAATATTTTTTAAAAGAAATATTTTTAAAAAGAAGTAATTAGATTAGATGTGTGGAATTAATGTCTCTATAAATGGGATCCCAGAGAGCTCTCAGCTCCCAAGGAGGAGTGAAAACACAAGAAGCCAGTTGTCTGTTACCTAGAAGAGGCCCTCACACTAGCCCCACACTACCCTGGCACCCGGATCCCAGACTTCCAGCCTCTTGAACTATGAGAAAATTAATCTATATTAATATAAGCCACTCAGGCTATATCCTTTGAGATGGAGCTAGAGCTCAATAAGGACCACCACAGTCATTACAAAGACACTGTCATGTGGCATGTGATACCTGCCCTTCCTACGATGACCTGTGCATTGCCACAAGGGCAGGCCTTTGGACTGGTACCTCAATAGTGCTCATTACCACCTTGCTAGATCCTTCCAGGATATCCAGTAATGTCTTCCACCTCCCTTTCTGTCCTTAGGGAGCCCACAATGGATGGGGTGGCTAAGGGCAGGCAGCCAACCTTAACCAGTCACTTTTCACCCTACAATTTGCCCCCATGGGCTAAACGCATCACCATATCATCTCCTTATCATAAGGCATAGTTAATAAGCAGAGGTCTCTGCATAATTTAATGACTAATAAAGAATACCTAGCCATGATCCAAAATACCAGGCCACCTTGTTAACCAAACAGGCATCCAGTAAGAGACTGGCAGGGCTCAAAGCAAAAGCATTAGGCGCTGACATCATCAAATGGAAGCACTTCTGTCTAGTCTCCAGACTGACGTCCACTTGGGGTTCCTCATGTGGTCTATTACAAGTTGGGACCTTCCATGCTAAGACGCCCATCTGGCTCCCACACATAATGCTTACATTTATCAGCCTCCCAAGACACCCAGAATTGTTTTAGAACAATTGTTTTAGAACAACTCAGTGCGCAATTGTGCCCGAGTGAGTCATAATCCAAGACAACATGGACATCTGAACACACCTACGTGGACCAAATTAATGCAGCACTCATCATTAAGCACTAATGGTTCATCCTGGGGATGGGGAAGTCACTATATTCTCCAGGGACCCAGTCCTGGGCAAAGTGGTCCTGTTATAATAATCTCACACTAAGAGCTTAAGGAGAGGTGGCTGTGGAAGAAAAATGGGGAAAAAACCCCCATCTGATAAGACTATGAAACTGGGGTGCAGAGGGGTAGG